GTATCGCTCAACCTCACAGTCTCTGTCTCTCCCTATCTCTCCTGCCTTGGACCATGCCCTGGATACACCCGCTCAGTTCAGACTCAGACCTTGGCGGCTATGGCCGCCCTGCTCCCCTATCACTACCCTAGCTGTGGTTGTCGTTGACGCTCCCTTCTCCTTCGAGCGTCATCTTGCCCAAGTCGCTTGGTCACACAAGCAGCAGCAGCGCTTCCACAACTTCACGAATGAACAACCGTGTCCGCTGCTGCACTGTAGCAGCTAAATATAGGAATTGGACTTGGCTTGGCCTGCCTCAGACCGGTGTGAGGAAACCCAGGGAGGGGTCGTCTGTCCGCCGCTGAAGCCAAAGACAGCGGCGTCTGTCACCCGCCGTGCCCTCTTCCGAGGTCCTCAGCGGCAGTACAGGAACTGGTGTTCAGATTGGTTGTCACTCCCCACTTGTACTGTGAGGTTGGAATGCCCTTACTGCAAGTAAATTCAAACGAGATATATAGCGAGAAGAAGAAGAGTTTGTCAGACCTGCAGACCTGTAATTTAGGTGGAGACCTCTGTCAGGTCCCCTCCTACGGTTCGGGTATTATCGAAAATTTGTTTTTTCACAAAAGTTGAACTGAGAACCAACTCAAATCAGAGGGGGGTGTTTCTACCATTTTCCCGTGACAGGGTCAGCATATACTTATCCTGAGCTCGAAGGGCAAACACACAATTTAGCGTGAATATAGCAAAGCTCAATCGCAGCCCAGGGGTATGTGTGCAAATTTCAGATCAATCAAAACCCCAAACACGAACTTCAGCGCCGCCCCCTTTCACAGTGGACATCCCTTTTCTTAGCGAGCACGCAGCCGTTCCAGCGTCTCGATGTAGATCTGTTTCAAAATACTGACTGTCTGTAGGGAATGCAATAACACCCCCCCCTCAGTGGAAACACTACTGCTTCTCCTTTCGCACTGGCGCTTCTCATTCGCTAGCAAAGTGGCCCGATCGAGTCTTTTTCAAGTGCATACAACTCTGAGGTGCCCTTGCACCCTATTTCATCCACCCAGTATGAGTTCAGAAACCCATAGTGAGATCACGCAGCCAGGAACTGCCAAAAGGTCTCCTCACAACATGGAGATGAAGATCCGGTCCGTTTCACACTGGGCAGCCAAAACACGTCTTTTGCATTAGCTACCGGGTCCTGTGTATGCCGATGACAATCTCCTCTTCACTCCCGCAACCCAATTTCCAGTGGTAGCTGTTAGAACAGTGTCTGTTCCCAGCTAAAGCGTCTCCCTCACTGAAGACGGTCAATCAAGCGAAGATTAAAAAAAACTAAAAGAAAAACAAAATAAATAATATTTGGTAGAGA